GATCAGTGTCTATGTGAAAGGGTCAGATCAAAATTTGGATGAGTTATCCCTGTAGAGCAGACAAGTCAGATTCTGACCAAGTGCACCCATGTAAAAGGATTAGATCGGATTCTAACCAGGAAGATATACTTGTCTTCCAGCTCCGAACCTGTAAGACGTAAGGGCTCAACTAGCCATGAAATCGAAAAAATACCTATTTAAGGATCATATCAGATTTTGACCGGGACGGTAGAAATATGTTTCAGTTAATTGTACGAGAACTAGTAGACAATAACAAACGAAGTTTCGAGTTTACGTACGATAAACTAAGGATATAAATAATGTGAATAGGATACGATACGTATCTTGATAACTTCCCTAAATTCAATGCTTTAATTTGTCCAACCTTGTTGTTATGTCATTTGGCTGCAGCTAGTATTTTTCTATCGCGTTAGGTGTACGGTGAATATATATATATATATATATATATATATATGAGAAATCTATTTATTTTAAGAGTTAGTTTACTTAAATTTAGTCCGTTCAATAATTTATATCAAATTTCAACGATCCAACTGTTGAATTTAAAGTTTTTAATGTACAGATAAATTTTTTTTAAAAAATAAAAATTATTTGATACTTCATTTTATTAATTCAAATTAATGTATAAAATGATTATCCATCAATTTAAATTAATGAAATGAAATATCAAATAATTTTTAAATTTCTTAAAAATTTGCAGGTTAAACCTATATATTAAAAGTTTTAAATTCAACGGTTGAATAATTAAAATTTGATGTAGAACATAAATTATTGAACAGAATAAATTTAGGTAAACTTTTTCCTGAAATAAATAGATCTCTGCTTTTATATATATATATATAATTAATCTATATGATATATGGACAAAAATATAAATTTTTATTCAAAAAATAAGAGCATGGCTGACTTAATGAATAATTAGAGAAAAATAATTGTGGTTAAATTTGGTAGGGATATCAACTCCAATTGATCGGTCATGCCCCAGTGACAAGAAACCATAGTGGTCATCATCCTCACTAGAGCTCTTCTCTCTTGCGCTTAAAAAAGAAAAAAAATGTCTTATTTTTCTTTTCATTGAATGATTATCGAACCATTACTTTCTGTATTTTCCAATCTTTATCATATAAATGATATTTTATATCACTCAGTTTGAGATTTTTATTTAAAATTGTTAACATATTTATTTTTTTAACCATGTAAGAGTGTTAAAATATCTACTAATTAAATTTAATAATAATTAATTTCTATTATATAGCTTATCTGATTATTTTTAATGAGATATTCTTTTCTAATTACTTTTTTTCATCCTAAATTTAAAACTTGCATCGAGACTTTCTTCAAGAAATTCAAATTTAATGTAATGGTAGCAACATGTTTTTTGAAATTCAAAATTTTAGCTCATATCATTAAGAATATTATAAATGATACAATTTGGGATGTGAATCACAGTGATTTGCACTTTCTATTGCTGCTTTAGCAAACTTAATTATGAGCAACAATATTAGCAAATCTAGGAGAGAAACTCACATGAGAGTTTGGGGGGTTAACCATGATAGGCTTACATTGGTCAAGAAGGCAATCAAATTCAGTTATGTCAACAGAGTGATGATTGGAGAAATAGGAAGGGATGTGATTACAATCGGTTTCGAAAATAATGTCCTCCAGGTTCTGGTTATGGGTCCAGTTGATAGCATGAAGAAGAGCAAAGACTTTACTAATGTGGGGTTCCAAACAGCCTTTGATAGTGGTTGAACGAGCTCTAACAAAGGCACCTTGATGGTCTCTAATGCAGATGCCTATTCCAGTAAGTCCTTCCACTGGAAAAGAGTGAGTGGCAATGTTGCACTTAAATGACCCTTGGGGGGGAGGAGACCACCGCTGTCTGGTTTGGGTTTTAGTGCGCTGGACCATGTCGATTCTGTTAGCAGTGGCCCAATCATGAAACATGGAGGAGGCGCGAAGATTGATCTCGTCTGGGTTCCAAGGAGTGTTACTCCAATGCAAAGCGTTCCGGCTGTGCCACATGCTCCAGAGAATCATGGAAAATTCTGCAACAGCTTGAGGGGTCCAATGCTGTAAAATATGATATATGAGGTTAAAGACACCATCAGAGGAGTTGATCAAATTCAAGATACAAGAGTGAAGATTACTTCCCTGCCAGCACAACTTGGCTGATGGACAACTAAAGAAAGTGTGCCAGGTGTTTTCGATATTAGTATTACATCGGAAACATGTACTTGGGCAACGAATTCCTTTCTTTTGAAGGTTTGGCCGCGTGGGAAGGATGTCTCGCATCAATCTCCATATGAAATGCTTAATTTTGTGGGGAATACGTAGATTCCAAATGTTTTTCCATGGACCAGGAACATTGAGATTACCCATGGAGAGGCAATGCTGGAGATAACCTTTATAAGCAGAACGAACAGTGTAAGAACCTCAGGGATTCCATTTCCAAATATGTTTATCTTCACAGCGTGGGTTGAGAATAGGAATGTTGAGTATCCGGTTGCTGGTGTCCTTATCTAGCAGGGAATTAATCAAAACATCGTTCCAACCATTCTTATCATTGCTCATCAGATCAGAAACTTTAAAAGCTTGGCTATTTGAAGGGTCATGAGGGTGAATACAATGGTAATTGTCATTGTATTTGACCCAAGGCTCGCCCCAAACAGGAATGGTATTCCCATTCCCAAGCCTCCAACGGATACCATTCTTAAGTAGATGTTGGGTGCTCCAAAGACTTTTCCATGTATAGCTGGGATTGTGGCCTAGTGAAGTATTGAGAAAGCTACTTTCGGGGTAGTATTTTGCTTGGTAGATTCTACTGATCAAAGAGTTTGGGTTGCTAAGAAGTCTCCAAGCTTGCTTACCAAGCATAGCAAGGTTAAAGGAAGATAAATTTTTGAAACCAAGTCCACCCTCAAGTTTGGAGATGGCTAGCCTTTCCCAGCGCATCCACTTAATTCCCTTGTGCTTATTTGAATTTGCACCCCACCAGAAGGCATTTAGTAATTTCTCAATCTCATCTATGGTGCGGTTTGGAATCATGAAGACACTCATAGCATATGAAGGGAGAGCCTGCAGAACAGCCTTGATGAGGGTCTCTTTTCCTGCTTTAGATAACGATTTGTGGCTCCAAGACTGTAGTTTTTTCCATATGCGTTCCTTGATAAACCTGAAAACTTCGTTTTTATTTCGTCCAATCATAGATGGGAGTCCAAGGTATTTACCAGTGGTCACGCATTTCTGGACATGCAAGGTATTAGATAACATAATGTGAGTAGTAGGAGGTGCATGTCTATTCAGGAATACTTCAGATTTATCGTAGTTTATGGCTTGACCAGAGGCTACCTCAAAAGTTTTCAGAATGGTAGCAACCTCATTGGTCTCTTTCTCAGAAGCTTGGAAGAAAAGGAATACATCATCCGCGAACATGAGATGATGCAGTTTGGGAGCACCACGACAGATTTGAATGCCATGCATGTTCCCTAGAAGTTCAGCTTTATGAATAAGGCTAGATAATCCTTCCATACCTAGAATGAAGAGGTAGGGGGAGAGGGGGTCTCCTTGTCGGAGACCTCTACCAGGAACAATGGAGCCAACTCGATTGTCATTAATATTTCCTATATACATTACTTTTCTTCTGTTGGTTTTACCTGAAAAGGTAGAATTAGATTTTTTATTTTATCGAGAGAACTGGGTCTTTTTTCCTTTTTATGCAATCAACAATATATATTCTTTTTTGAAGCAGTTTTGCAATCAATTAGTTGTCTCAACAACTTGCAAAATCCAGAATATATTTGAATATATAATTTGATATTGAAATATCCATTTATCAGTTATTAACTGAGAGCTTCATGCATGGATGATATCGTTTTCAGCAGATAGAAATGTAAGGATAATACCAATAACTGATAATTATCTTTCATCCTGCGAATGTCATCTTAATAAGACCGTGCTAATACAAAATAAAATGGCATCAATTCAAAGTTACTGTACTAATGCAAAATTTGATAAATATGCATTTTTAAGATTATGATTGTATGTTTTGGTTTATACATTCCTATATATGATAAATTATCATATAGTAATATGTTAAACTTTATAATTAAATGAATGAAAAATTAGATAAATATCTTTTTTATTTATAGTAATAATGAATCAACATGTTATATGGTAATTATATTCAAATAATATTATGAATTGATTAAAAAATGTCATGTGCATCAATCTAGTTGAGATTATGGTAAGTAGGTCTTATCTTATCCCATTTGGAAGCTAGGGAGGATAATGGGCACATTGTGTTGTGTGAGAGAAAAGATGGTAGGGGTCCATCAGGATGACATACTCCACGAGTGTCTCCTCTGTCTTCTAAAACTTTGAGATTATATTTTGTTTCCCTTTTTTTTAATCCCTTTTTTCTTTCCTTTTCCCCAGATTAAACCTTTCCCACCCAATTTTTCTATTCCTTGAAAGTGGCATTACACTACACATATATGGGGAAAAACCAATGATCCCCTTCAAAATTTGCAGCAAATATTTCAGCTTCATGCCTATCGTTATTTATTATCTATATCCACCAAAAATCAAGTTATTTTCAACTTGAACATTATTGTACATATTTATTCCTTGCACACTTCGTTAACGAAAGGAAAATGTTACTATTCAATCGTACGTACATTATCACGCAATTGAAAATATTTGATTCTCATAATAATTATTTCAAGAAATCAAAAGATGTCACAGTGTATAATTAAATAATCGTCTGTGCCCGTTCATGTATGTGTTATCTGAGATTTAATAAGGTACATTCACTTATCTTTTTTAAAAAAGTATTTCAACATATTAAACGGTTTCTCAATAATCTCAGGTTTTGAATTGTAAGAAGAGTTTTATTGCTGTATTTGTTCAAACAAGACTGTTGTGAAAAATACCACCACAAAGGAAAAGCACTAACATCAACATAATTAAATAATTTCTTCCTTAGGCACTCTCGTTGAAGCAGAGAGCCTATAAATAGAACCCCAGACAATGGAACTCCTCACAACATATAGTCACAGAGGCTATTAAAGTGAGAGAGATAAGATAGAAATGGAGAAGTTTCCAGTTATTGACATGGGGAATCTGAATAATGAAGAGAGAGCAGCAACCATGGAAACAATAAAAGATGCCTGTGAGAACTGGGGTTTCTTTGAGGTACTCATAAACATCTATTAGCCATAATTTTGTTTCAAAATGATAAGCTTTCTCTTCCCTTGCATATACATGTAGAGTTTGAAAAGGCTAACATATTATTCTGTGTTTTAATCAAGTTGGTGAATCATGGGATATCCATAGAGTTGATGGACACTGTGGAGAGGCTGACAAAAGAGCACTACAAAAAATGTATGGAGCAAAGGTTCAAGGAAATGGTAGCAAGCAAAGGTTTGGAGTCTGCTCAATCTGAAATCAATGACTTGGATTGGGAAAGCACCTTCTTTTTGCGCCATCTTCCAGTCTCTAACATTTCAGAGATCCCTGATCTCGATCAAGATTACAGGTAATGCATGTAACACTTGTGAAAAAACAATTGGAGATTATCTGAAGGAAGAATATGTCTGACATTAACCAAAGAATTTTTGCTCTACAACAATTAACACCTCACTATATACTTGTTTGAGTCACTATCTTTTGTGTTTCATAAAAAGACCATTTTTTGTTTTGGGGGTATTTCAGGAAGGTCATAAAGGATTTTGCAGTGGAACTGGAGAAACTGGCTGAGCTGCTTCTTGACTTGCTGTGTGAGAATCTTGGGCTGGAGAAAGGGTATCTGAAGAAGGTGTTCTATGGATCCAAGGGCCCAAATTTTGGCACCAAAGTTAGCAACTACCCTCCTTGTCCCAAGCCAGAGCTCATTAAGGGCCTCAGAGCCCACACAGATGCTGGTGGCATCATTCTACTCTTCCAAGACCACAAGGTCAGTGGATTGCAGCTTCTCAAAGATGGACACTGGATTGATGTCCCACCAATGCGCCATTCCATTGTCATCAACCTTGGCGACCAACTTGAGGTATAATTTCTTTTTATATATATAGACATTGTTACAGTGCTTCTAAAATTCGCACATCTCTTGATAATTAAGGTTAATAATCGTATATGAACACTTTTCTCTTTTAACTCAATGAACTGCGACAGGTTAACTAGTGTCAGCCAACTTAAGGTCGGAAATATATAAATATATCCAAAATCCCTGCTTTCACCTTACCAAAGTCTCACACATCTTGTGGGCCAAAACATCATAGGATAAATAATATACGAATTTCTTATGTTATCATCCGATCACATATCGTGATATATAACAAATTTGTCAAGTTATATTGGCTGATAGATAAATTCAAGGCTATTAAACTCAATTTCATCATATTCAAAGGAAAGGTGATAGAAAGTAGTTCATGAATTTAACTCCTTGGTGTTTGTGGTGAATTAAAACAGGTGATCACGAATGGGAAATACAAGAGTGTGATACACCGTGTGGTTACTCAAGCGGAGGGAAACAGAATGTCCATAGCCTCGTTTTACAATCCAGGAAATGATGCTGTGATCGCTCCAGCACAGGCTTTGGTGAAGGAAGATGAGACTAGCCAAGTTTATCCAAAGTTTGTTTTTGATGATTACATGAAGCTTTATGCTGGCCTTAAATTCCAGGCCAAAGAGCCAAGATTTGAAGCTATGAAGTCGTCCAGCATTAACTTGGGTCCCATAGCAACTGTCTAAGCCTGAGATTGAAGCATTATATTAGTTATAATATAATATAATATATGTCTACCGGTATCTTTCTTTGCTATGCTATGGATGCGCTGTTACGCATGTGTAGCAAAAATATCTAATACATACTATAGAAATAAACCATTAGTTTGATGTTGATAGTTTATTTGTGTAATGTCTGTGACTGTTAAGTTCATTGGTGTCATATATTGATGAACTTGTTTTGTTAAAAAGTGACCCGATCTTATTATTAGCCATTTTATAAGGAACTCTCTTTCTTGATTCTTCTTTGGCTTATTTTGCCTTGAAATTATATTGTCATGCAAAACAAAAGGCATAAAAGTAAATTACCAATCCAACAAGCACCTTAATGTTATAAAGTGCCTATAACTAGCACCTTTAATAACTCGTGGGGGAATTTTTTTCCTTTGTTATTTCGGTTCGTAAATTAAACAAGTTGTATAATTCTTGTAATTCGCCTTTTCTTCAATAATTTAGTTTGATGACTCTGCATGAGGCATGGGTGTGAATAATCAATTTTATCCGGATTCACAAAAGTGATGAAATAGACATCTACTATGAAGAGAAGGAGCACCCGAAACATGCCGACAAGAAGACAGGACTTTAGAGGGCCCAAAAGCACAAATTAAATATTTTTTGGGCCCGGAACGGGCCGTAGCGTTGAAGATAAACAAGAGTTTGGCGATTGCAGGTCCTTTACTGAGTGGGATTGCAGCAGTGGGGTCTTCATTTGTGGGAAATGGGTCGTGGGTTGCATTAGTGCCTCTCGTGGCTGGATCATTGGCTTCAGCAGTTAATAGTCTTGAGCATGGTGGACAAGTTGGCATGGTCTTTGAAATGTACAGAAACTGTGGTGGATTCTTCTCGCTCTTGGAAGAGAGCATTAATGCCACACTTGAAGAGAAAAACATGGACAAAAGAGAAAACGGAGAGGTGTTTGAAATGAAGGTAGCAATGAAGTTGGGAAGAACCGTTTCAGAGTTGAGACGTCTTGCCTCTAAATCTGCTTCCTGTCGCATCCAAGGAATTGCTGTAGACGAATTCGCTAGCAAGCTTTTCTAATTGAGACAACATTTTTTCAAGAACAACACATTCTTTTATTCTTTATTAATTAATTCATTGTATAGTCCTCTGACATGTATACGACGTACATTTCATTAAACAACCATATACATTCTTTTGTTCTTTATTCATTAACTAATTGTATAGTTCTCTGAAATGTATACATAGCCTGAGACAGGAGAGAAACTGTGTATATATATTTTGAACCTATTTCTCAAAATTTTTCTTGTCTATGACACAATATCTTTATTTATTACGTTGAGTTTTTTTTAATTTGCCTTTTATGGAGATGGAAGATGATATGTTGCTATGCTGCCTACGCATGTGTGTGATAAAGCTCTTTCACGACGTATTAAAAAAAATTCAATGTAGGTAAAATTATTACTATTATTATTGCATGATATAATTTGAATCACCGCATGTTTACGATTTCCATCGATATTCCATCAATGTTTTTTAATTTATAAAAAATTTAATAAAACTTGACTATAATCACTATTATAATTTATCTTATTACATGCGACTTTTCTTACGATTTTTTCACAAAAATTTGTAAGAAATGTTATTTTTACAATTTTTTTTTTGCAAAATTTTATTTGTAGGTAATACTTTTGTAGATAATATACTTTTGAAAATTTTAAAATTCGCAAGAAATTTTTCTGCGAAAAAAAATTCGCAGGAAAGTGTTGCCTCTAAGATTGTAGATTATAAGCCTAATACTCAACATACAAATCAATGTGTAAGGTAAGTGTTGCCTCAACTTATATACTCTTTAATTGTTTTATTTTTAATTGATGTGGGACTTGAATTTTTTTTAAAATATTAAATTTATAAATTTAAATATTTTTTTTGATTTTTCCTGCGGATTAAAATTGGCAGGAAAATCCGCAGAAAAAGTTACTTGCAAAATTTTTCTACTATTTAGTAAACATTACTTACAAATTTATTTTTGCAAGAAACAAAATAAAATTCTTCCAATATTTTCTCAAATTTTTATCATGAAATTTTTTTTATGATCATTAAAATTGTAGTAAAATTTGCAAAAATTTCTTGTAGGTTATTTTTCATAAAAAAATTTGTAAGAAATATTTGTAAATTATTTTTCGCAAATAAATTCGTAAAATTTTTTTTTGAAATTATTATTGCAAGAAAATTCGCAAAAAATTTCTGCGAATATTTTTTTTAGAAAAATTTGTAGATCCCCCAGCCTCTCATAGTCCTCTAAGTCCTTCTTCTTTACCACTTCAATCACTTCCCTCAGCTCCATTTCAAGATCTTCACTCCATCCATTAATCCTGTTCCTGTTGCTTTCTTCTCTTTTACTTCTTCTTTGGAACTGTGATGAAGGCCACCAAACAGCAGGTTCATATTTGGCGGGAAACTTGTCAAGCATGGCTCCCAACAAGGGAAGAGGGTAAGCTTTGTCAAGCGCTAAGACCTTCTCCATTGAAGTCTTCACATCTTCTTCTGTTGGATTTCCAATAGCGATTGTGGTTTGTATTTGAGTGTGAAGCTGTTTGAACAACCTTGTGGCATTGCGTTGCTCCTCAGCCAGTTGCGAAGGCTGAATTTTGTTCATGATAAGTGACATCCCAGTGGCAGCAGAAAACAAGAGAGTGGAAGACAGTTTCATGGCAAAAAGAGGTGCAGTGTCACCGCTGGTGGCTGCAGCAACACCAGCCATGGCTGTGGCAGTGAGAGTGATGATATTAATGGAGTTTAGAAGAAGGGTGTTCCAGTTGTTTCTTTGTTCGCCAATGTTTCTGTGCATTTCTATTCTGTCGGCAACTTCCTCTAGAATAGCGTAGAGTTGAATAGTGGTCTTATTAGATTTGTTGCTAGGGCTGCACAAATCTTCATAAATTCGTTTGGTGACGGCATTCTTCTCAAATGATCCATTAAATTCATCAATCTGCAGCTTTCTCTTTGGTAGCTTTGGAACCGAATGAGTGACTACTCGTGGAGGAAGAGGGACATGGAGAGAGGCGTTGACTTTGGGTAGAGAAGAAAAGGAAGAGGAGAGTATAGCTGTGGTTTGTAAAGAAGCCATGGAGGGTGTCTCTCTGCCTACTCTTAGTGTATATTTTGTATTTGAGAAGATGGATTGAATTGGGGTTTGAAAGGGATTAGATTTGAGAAATTTGAGATTGGAGATGAGAATGAGAAATGAGGGTTGGGTTGGGTGGGGGTATTTATATACAAAGACAGAAAGGAAGTAAGGTAAATATTGACTATTCTATTACGACCAAAAATATTTATAAGAATAGACTTGGCCTTGGTGGACCATTTCCGGATATCAGACTTTGTAAATGAGAAATTTAAAGCCATGCCTTTGGATTTTCTTTCAATTGAATGTGCGACGTAGTAAAGCCACCAACTCCATCAACAGGTGAATGTTAAACAGTCAATATTTCGCCAGCGGGAGGCTACGTTCCACCACTCATTGCTTCTAAACTTCAATACCTTACAACATCGATCGATCACGTGATTGAATTTAAATTATCAATTTTTTATTTTACATTTTTCAGTTAGGTCTACCCTAATAGTTCAA